AGCTGTTCTTCTATCAGAATAGTTTCGCTCTAGTCCGTGTCTTGGTTTTTCTTCAAATGTTGGTTTTGTCCTTCTTGATAGGCATTAGAGTGATTTTCAAATCAACACAAGAAAAAGAAAACTAAGCATTGATGAGCAGCTGCATTGCTACAAGTGGTCACTCGCTCTATAGACATAAAAATGACTAGTGACATGATATTATCTTTAGATATACTAAGTAAAAACACTCCTCCATATATATTGCTTTTGTAACATAAAGGGAGATAAGGTGCAGAGTCTTTAAAGTGGAATAGGAAGAGACGCTAGAAAAGGGAGCAGGATCAGGTTACCTTACTCTTGTAAATTCAGCCTGCTCTATCACACATAATATGACATTAGTCCAGCTGGGGCACTAGCTGCACTTCGAGTCTGGTCTATGATCAACTCTCTGAAAAAGGTTAATAAGCCCAAAATTCCTAACTCAGTTGGCGGTTAGACTTATGGCAGAAGTGCACCAACTAGGATTAGCCGTATAGATATATTTCTGATGCACTGGAAAATGGGGAAAAAGTTTCTTTTGAGAAAAGTGGACGAAGCAACGTACTGGGAAACAATATGAAAAAAGCATAACCTAATCATCTAGTGACATTAAATTTTTTTAAAGAAAGAGATAAAAACCTTCTATAAATAAGTTAAAACCTTCTATATAGATTAGACATTTTATTTAAAGCATTTTTATCAGAAATCAAGTGAGAAATTGCAAAAAACAAAAATCGAGGCATGTCAAAATGGCCGTAAGAACTGAAAAAAGAACTGCTATATCTAATATATAATGCGTTGGAGAATAAAGGAGCTAGACAAATTCCAGACCTCTTATTCTGCACCATTTATTGGAATCCATCCATTCCCGCAGCCGTTTTCCTCCTCAAGAAACAAAGATAGAGAGAGCACAAGGAAGAAATGATGACTGATTGAATGAATTCAGTGTCTGAAAGAACAAGTGTTGATCGTGGGAAGAAGACTCAAAGAGTATTTAAATGGAATTCTGGCAAAGGAATAAAAAAATCCCGTGCAGGGCGTAATCAAGGGAGAAGTGAAAAGCGACAAATCCCCAAAAGGAAGATTTTAGCAATGAATGCAGCAGCTAGCATGGTGCAACTGTTCCTTAACATGCCGCCTGCTACGACCACAGCACAGCTCTAGCTTCTCTTCTTGTCTTTACATCAAAAAATTCAGAAAATGAGAGAAGAAAATAAAAACTGGATCAAGAAATTCTTATGGGAGGGTTTTTGTGAATACTAGCTGGGACACTTGGACAGGAGGCAACCTAAGATTGAAGTATCCCGATTATTTTCCTTTTATTCCCCTTGTACTTTTGTGGCTTTTGGGATGTGTAGAAAGGGATACAGTACTTCTTCTGCTTTTTTTTCCCAAGAAAAAGGAGAGATATTATGTATGTGTATAATTGCGTGATCAAGTTGCACATCTCGGTCTAGGACCGTAGGTTGTTCATCATTGGCTTCTCACTTCTGTACGGAAATGTTCAGGCCCGGGGGTATTAATAGTCCGGTAATTAAGGGCCTTGGATTCACACGGTTGAGATTTAAGAACAAACCCTGGTCATCATTGTATGCAAATCATTGTTATGATAACGCTAGGAAAGGGAAAAAGGGGGAGGCAAGAAGGTATGCAATGAGAAGAGGTCGATGAGCAATATTTTATTCCAAGCTTTTACCGAGCAAGGTTGAACACCTTTTAATTTTTGTTGGTTTTTAAGGCATAAATTAAGAAACAATACCTTAGTTAGCGTTATAAAAAAAATGTTTTACTTTTCATTCATCAATTTTCGCTTTTACAGAGATAGAATAACAAACCAACGATAAATATCTTCTAACAAATTTTAACCAAAAAATAATTGTTAATAACTCAACATAATCTTTTACTACCAAATCTTCTGAACAATCTTAACAAAATTTTGAAATTTCTAACAAACTGGAAATAACCAAATACTAAAAATCCTAATAATTAGATTTATTCAATAACTATTTTATTTATCCTAGTGCTAGAAAATCTAGAAAAATCTGCAGAGAAATTATATATTTCAACACTTCTCCTTGCTACTTTTGTTGCACATTTTGAATTATCTTGTGAAATATATGAACCTTGTTTTGGACTATAAGAACTTTTGGAACTGATGATTAGCATTGCAATGAATTTATTCTTTTAGCTTTTTATGTAAGATGAGGATTAGTCCTGCAAAAAATCACTTTTTTTTGGCTTCTTATGCCAAATTCCAAATAAAAGATGACTTTTTTAATGTATCTAAATTACGTTTCTTATAGGTTCAAAGTGGAACACCCTCAATGCTTGTTATGAAATATATAAGACAAACCCTAAAACTTTTGTATGGTTATTCACAAATTTTGTCATCACCATCATCCTTGGATTTTTCATGAGTATAAGCTCCTTCGATTGGTTTATCAATAATCTTCTCCTAAATTTTATATGTATTTGAATTCTTGATTTCTTCATGTTCCACTTTAGAATTGTCAAAATCCGACCAATTAGTAGTGAAACTTTCTCTTTTCATTTTAATTGAGAATAGTTTACTCTTAATCAAATCACAAGTCATCAGAAAATGATATGTGGATAGTGGCCTTGGATCTTTGTCTAATTGCAACTCTATGTTCCCTAATTTATCTACCCATTGGTTCTTCAATTAGTGATGAAACAAAATTTGTCTCCACCATAATGCATAGATCATTGACTACCAAATAAGTTCAAAATTTAATGGTCTAAATTTGCTAAGTTTCACCACTAAAAATTGAAGCATTTGACAAAAAGATCTCTACTATTTTATGGCTTTGAATTGATAAAAGAATCTCACCGAATGCACTATCTCTCAAAAAACAACACATGCTTTTAATTCTCTCAAAAAACAACACATGCCTTTAAAATATAGGTTGTGTATACCACTTTATTGGATTTTAGGGTATAAACTAAGAAACAACACCTAAGTTAGTGTTACAAAAAAATTGCTTTCTTTTCACTTATCAATTTCCCCTTTTATAGAGGTAGAATAACAAATCAACCATAAATATCTCCCAACAAATCTTAACCAAAAAAATACTTGTTAACAATTCAACACAATCTTGCGCTAACAAATCTCCCGAACTATCATAACAAAATTCTTAAATTTCTAATAAACTAGAAATAACCAAATACTAAAAATGTGAAACAAATCCTAATAATTAGATTTATTCAACAGCTATATTTTTTATCCCAGTGCTAGAAAATCTAGAAAAATCTACAGAAAAGTTGCATATTCCAACATTTTCCCTTCATTTTATAACCAAATACTAAAAATGTAGAACAAGTCCTAATAATTAGATTTATTCAATAACTATTTTATTTATCCTAGTGCTAGAAAATCTACAGAGAAGTTGTATATTCCAACAATTTTCCTTCATTTTATATTGAGCCTTTTAGCTGCAAGAAGAATACATTTGTCTGAACGGTCAAACAATTTGAAATGATTTTCTTCTTTGGCTGGAGGGGTCTAACGATGATCATGACCATGAGTGAAATTTGGCAAACTGGCGTTCTCCTGGTCTCCTCTGCTGAAATTACAAGACAGGATAAAAAAGAAAAAAAAATATTTAGCTTAGTTACATGCGAAGTAGTAACAACTCGAAAGGAAAAAATGGACACGAGGCGGAGAAACTGATGTACAATCCAGCCAAATTGGCAAACAATGCAAAAGCTCAATGATTTGACAAGTTCCGATACCAGCTGAGCTGATTAATCGAGTGATGTTAGTAGTGTTAAATTGTCCAATACATGCAATCAAACAAATTCCTGCAACGAATTTGCAAATTGAATAAGTTTCATGAACAGCATTAGTATGATGTTTAAGTAACCGGGGGAAAAAAAAAATAAAAATGACGACATAGTGTCCAAACTTGCAATTTTCCGTCTAGGCTGGGTTTTTTGTTCCTTTTCTTTTTCTCGACCACTACTTAATTAACTTTGGAAAAGACCATCAATAGTTCCTGATTAAACCGGGCTTCATACCGAAGTACAGTTGCTTGCTGCGGATTCATAAGAATCTTTTTTTTTTTTTTAATTTTTTGATAAAGTCAAAAGCAGATTTATGAGCCCCAACAGACAGCAGCATTGAAGTTGTACCTAGGAGGAGAGTTGAACAGGTGGGACCCAGTGGAGAAACATATCCGCTGTTACTTTTTGACCATCATCTCTACTCTTATTCAGGTCTTGGTCTTGATTGATGCGTGCAATTCAAGAACACTAAGAAGAAAGACAAAGAAAGACAACCTATGATATGCATGGATGATGGATGGATGGATGGATGGGGATCCTTTGATTTGCCTGGCGAAATCCTACTGGATCTTTCTGCTACACTAAGTAGAGTCCCGCAAGCCACAGCCACCTCTTAAACTCTTTCTTCAATTTACCACGCTTTTTGTGTATCGGACAAAAAAAAAAAAAGAGAGAGAGAGAGAAAAATTACTAAAGGAAGCTCTTTCTGGTCCCTCTCTTTTTGTTACACAAAAGTTTCAAGCTTTTTCAAAAAGTACTTCTACAGCGAGAAATAAAAGTTCAACTTTGAAACCATAACCATAATTTTACCATCTTCTCATCAAAGGTTAGGTACACGCCACATTGGTGCAAATGTGAAACCTTGCCCGGACGTAGGAGAGTTCTCTGCACAGCCAGCAGCACGCTTTTGTTTTATGTCCTTGCCCGCATTCCAAATGTAGTTCGAGAAAGGAAGGAATAGGGAGGGAGGGCAAAAAGGCAAGGCGGATAAGCAGCAGCTGAAGCATGAAAACAGGGCCCCCAACCTTTTATGTACTTGTGACACGCGCCTTTGAACTAGTAGTAAATAATGGACATGTTCGTACTGCACTTGAAAAGGGTGAGCAAATGCAGCGGCTGGATGCATACATACGAAAACATTTGTACTATTGTGTAGTAGTATGTCTGGCTGCATTATCAGCTGAAGAATTAATGCGCCATCTTGCGGCCCTAGCCCCCGCAAAACTTATCTAGCATTGAATAGACACTGACCAATAATTACATATAGTTTCCCAAGCAATTAAGATGTTGCATGGAAAGCGAAGTTACAATCGTCAATAATCACGGGATGAGAATAGAATATATAAGCCAGGTGGGGGCTTCATGTAATCAGGGCCCTGCTCCCATACTACACGGGAGGAAGAAAAAGTACAAAAAATAGCTTTTTCATTTTCACACTAGATTACATTCATGATGGTTTTTCAAGCGTCCGTTTCTTTATTTTAATTTTTAGTCTATGCGAAGAACTACTTTGGGTTGCATTTACACTACTATCCAATGGCTTTATTACCACCTTTGCTCCACTCGTCTCACCTGGTGGGTTCGGTTGCATGCTTGCCCCAGATCCGGAATCGTCCTTCTTCCTATACGAACCCACCGGAGGTGCCTTTCCCTCCCCACCAGTTGCAGCTGACCTAGTTTCACTATCATAATTACTTCTCTCGTGCTCCACTTGACTCGCTTGCTCATCCCTACTAATCCCTGTTGGAATCCCTTTCTTCCTCTGCAATTCAACTGACGAGGATGCCTTCGCCTCATCACTCATGAGCTTTGACAACTCCTTTTCCTTCCGCTTCTTCTCCTTCTTTAGACGCTTCCGCTCCAAGTATTCTGGGTCATTTCGGTGACCTTTGTGCTCATCCCGTTTCCGCTTCTTTTCTTTATGTTGCTTCTTATCTTTTTTCTTGTCCCTCTCTTTGACCAAAGAACTGGTCTCGGGACCGGGTCCATTCACAGTCAGAGATTTTAAACTTGCATATTTGTTACTCATCATCTCTAAATGATCATCTTTCACAATGCTCGTAGATATGTGATCACCTGGCGGTGATACCAGATAAACTTTGCTTGAATCAGCTGTGCACTGCAGTTCCTTCACATCATCAGCTGCAAGTTTGGCACTGCCTATGCTAGCAGTTACCCGAGACCCCACATCATGGCTCGAATTCACATCCTCAAGGTTCTGATTGCCTGTGCTAAATGTCTCAGCAACAATTTTTTGAGGTGCGTCAACAGAGACAGAACTGCTTGCACCTCTATCAGCATCAGCATGCCCATCTTGAGACTTTTCAAGAATTGCATTATCAGGATCCTCTGCCCGGCTTGAAGCAGCAGAATGTTTGACCTTAAACCGGAACACTGGCTTCTTCCGCTCAAGACCATTGGAAACAGTATCATTCTCTTTGGAAACTTCAGCAACAACTAAATTATCGTGCAAAAGTTCAGCAACTGGCTTCATTTGTTCACGACTGTTTGATGGTGTTTCTGCTCCTTTAGCAGCCTCAGTCATGACGATGTTCTCACGCGGTTGGTCAATGGCCTCGGCAATGACCATGTTCCCATGTGGTGGGTCAACGGCCTTGGCAATGACCATGTTCTCATTTGCTTGGTCAATCACTGGCTTTGATTGCTCATCACTTCCAGAGAGAGCCTGTAGTTCTTTTGCAGGTTCTGGCAGGAAAATATCACTTTCTCCAAGTTCAGCCACTCGATTCCGCTGCTCATTGTTTCCAAGATGAGTATCTGCTTCTCTATTAGCTTCAGGAGCCAGCAGACCATCAGGTTCAGCAATATCAATAGCCTTTGTCAAATCATGACCATTGGAGAGAACATCGCGCGCCTGAGAAGCCTCAGGAAATACTGAACCATCACCATCACGTTCAAGGTCAAGAGCCTCCAGAGAGGGTTCTGGAGGCTTAGACTGTTTGACAAGAGCAGCAAAAATGTTCTTAAGTTCACTGCAAGTTTCTGCATGCCCCATTCTCAGCGTCTCATCCCTTGGTGCCCCAAAAAGGGTAGGTGCCCTAATAGAGTGATGAACAGAAACAGGCTTAAATTTGCAGCAGCTGATGACGTAACCTATTTTTCTTCCTCAAACAGATAGCGAGCAACCAGATATAGCAAGAATGCAGCATATCCAAGAATAACATCATCTTAGCGTTATAAAAATTACCAAGTTCTGATGACCAGGCTACTCATATTTATCCAGGAAAAGGAAAGGGACACCACTCTCAGTTAAATACCTAAGGAGATCCATTTATCCAATTGAATGCTTATCATCTGCTATTGAGATGAACAAAGAATTCTCCTTTTTCCAGACCATACAATAAGCTCCAATGACAAGTGCATATCATTTGTCTCTCTAAGATTCAATGGGGCATAATCAGCATCACACCTTTATTATGTGTCTCCAACTAAGGAACATTTCTACATAATTAGAAGGCATTTTCCCACCAAAAAAAAAGGTAGTCATTGAGATGTATTTTTTGCAGATAACTACATAAAATAAACGTGCTCCTAAAGTACAGTTGGATGTACTTAAAAGTCCCATAATCTGGAAAGGCTTAAACACATCGAACTGCATGTCAGAGATATTTGGACACATTATGGCAAGATTTCATCTGCTAAGCTCAGAAAAGATAAGGCAGGATGAGGCATACGAACCTTCGAGCTAAGACTTGCAAAATGCAGAAAAGGTGATGACGAAGGGTAATATTGTTGAATGACATGGGGCTCTCAAGCAAGCGAAGCAAAGCCACAAGAGTATCACTCTTTACATCATTGTCAGGATCAGATCCAGTTCTCATCTGGCATAATCGCAAAGCATGCACACCTAGCTTTACTTGTCCTGTGATGTAAGATCAGAAATTTTGGTATATTATGCATTTATTTTTTCTAAAAGAACAAACAACTATCACTACATGCTAAACTGAATAATCAAATGGACCTTGAAACACTAGAAAGAATACAAACCTCTTAAAGATGATTCTTCATTCAAATATTTTATGAACAACGTCAATGCTGCATCAATGCCAGCAGACTGAAACTCAAGATCAAGGAGTGCTCTACCTGCTTCAACACGAACTTGCCATACAGCCTTAAAAGTACGGAATGGCTGAATTAGTTCAATTACGCGATCCTGCAATAATCAGCATTTCAACATAAGAATAACTAGTTTGTAGAGTAAATATACATCAGAATGGAAAATACTTACAAGAGGAACAAATTCTGAAAGCTTGATTGCAATTTGAGTCAATGATCGAATACAACTGATAGTCAAAATTCCATTGTAGCTTGGCATTAGCCTGTATATTCATTTTCCATAGCAAATGAGAAGCCCAGAGTCATATAAAGGATTATATCCAGTATTCAGTGAGTTAAGGCACCTGTCGAAGTGCAAAAGTCGGTCGAGGCGCTTGAGAAGGGAGGACAAGTAGATTATAGTCTGCCACGAATTCACAAACACAAATATTAAACCATAAAAGATTAATTGGAATTTGCTATCATGCTTCAAAGAACCTTCAACAGACAAACAAGGTCAAACAGAATCTTCAATGTAGTCCTTCATATCTACACAGATAGCATAATTCAAGATGATGAAAATCATGGCAGGCCTTCAAAGGTGAACAAGTAGATCAGTCTGGCACAAATTCACATACACCAAATATTTAACTGTAAAAGATTAATTGGAATTCGCTTTCACTTTTCAAAAATTTTAACAGACAAACAAGGATGAAGAGAATCTTCAATGTAGTCATTCAAATGTACATCATAACCAATATGCTTGAAGAAAACCAATGCCGGGCCTTCACATAAAATAACATAGGAGCTGAAATAAATTTTATGGTTTACCTAACCAGGTTAATCTCTGGAATTAAAGTACAGAACCACTTGGTCAATCAAGAGAGGAAAAAGAGCTTAGTAGTAAATCCAGCAAAACTAGCATATGCAAATATGAGAAAATTACCATTGAAAGAGCACATGCAGTAAACATGAAATATACTACTGCTTCATCAATCCAATTATTTTTTAGAATTATGAGATTGTTTACTTTGTTTCCCAGCTAACTTATTTAGGTTGCAATTTTTTGAACTTCAATTGATTCTTTGCCAATTAAACAGAGGTGCAGTAAACCTCATGCTTTCTGCACATTTGACTACTATATCCCTGAATAATGCAACAGGAAATTAGATTAATAAGCAAAACCAAGCACTAATATCTTCAAGAACAGGCAACTCGACCAACAAAGCTTAGCACATGGTGTGAAGCAGTCAATTCTCTGGGTCCCCAAGAAGGTGATGCTATAGCCACATTTATGCATTCCACTGTACAGTGATTTCTCAAAGATCTTAAAGTCAAGTTAGAGCTCAATTTGGTTATTGTTCCATCACTGCTAACAGGAACTAATCAAATAGAAGAAGAGTCAAGTTCATGCTGTAAATTGTCACCTTTACACTTTCACACATCTAGATCACAAAATCTGAGATCTTAATACCAAAAGTATAATAAGCTTTTTCCAGGCCCAATAGAGGTAGAGCTTCTAATAGTTTGCTCAGCCCCAAGATTCTAGAGTTTCTTATATTTGATAATCTGCATTGGAAACAAGCCTACCAGTAACACTGTCAAAGTGCACGAGTAATCAGGTTTCAGCGTAGTAACAGGATGCTTAAAGTATACTAAACCCTCTAGAAGTATCATCTTGTACTTCAAGTTAGAAAAGAGAATGAGGGGAAAACCAAATAAGGTGGAAAGCAGATATAACTGTCTCAAGTGTCCTAGAAGTTGGCAGGGGAATGATCTTTTATGTAAACACCAGAGTTAGTAATCTTCACTTAGATCAAATCCACAGGTACACATTGTAATGCATTTTGTTCACTAAGGCAGTATTATCCAAGCTGGACAAAGAGTACAATTATATCAGTATCCTGTCATGCCTCGAATCGGAGATATTTCCTCGGTAGAAAAAGATTTAAATCTATCAAATCCAGTCAGGTTTGGTTTCCAGATTGGAACCATCTTTAACTATAATGAAGTGTTTCCACACTACTACCTATTAAATATAACCCATATCGTGTCTAATAAAAACAATGTCCACAGGAGCAAATAGGCAGCTAGATCGTAAATTCAACTACCAAAATAACTTAAAGCACAAGAACTTGCAATTAAAGGCATATGAGAGCAACAAATAAATTAATACACACACTTATGTCGAGAGCAAATAATTGGCAGAAACAGGGCCCATATCTATAAGGAAAAAACATATGCATCACATGTACAATTCATCAATCGAAAAATAAACAACTGAATAACTACAGACAACCACAAAAAAGATATGAGCACCTGTTGCCCAAATTCAAGTTCGCCAATGGACTGAACCAATGCAGCAAGCCAAAAGACATCAGAGTAGAAATTCCCATTGTTGTCGTTGTACTGTGCAGAAACCAAAATTAGAAAAAGGGAAAAACAGAAAAAGTATATGCACATGATGCAAAGAAAATTTCAAAATAACTAAGCAAGAAGTCAAAGAATGGAGTACGAAAAACTAGATGCCCCTTACATGTGAAGATATGACAAGTATCAGACACCTAGAATCCCAACAAAACACGACACATAGCAACACGAGCAATCTAGTATATCTCAAGTACAAGCAGCAAGACATCAACAATGTCTCACAATTTCAGATAGATACATCCTCCTATATGTGAAACTTCATTAACAAATTGATCACTACTGATTTAATACAGAATAGCGTCCAGCCCAGGAAAGTGGTTATAGCAGTCAAGTAACATTTATAGCAGTTCTCCAGCATTACGTTGCATACTATCTAAGGATTTCATAGAAAAAGAGATTACCCAGAGCGCAATTTATGCATATTCATTACCCAGAGCACAATTTATGCATATTCAACTACATTCTAGCATGATGGCCACAACCCCCTCACCCATCAGATGACCATAGCTTATAATTATGAAAGAGGTTTTTACCTTCAAAAGCTGCAAAATGAATTCCACAGCTTCTCTGGGACTTTTCTTATCTGCTGTCCTGACCGTAGCTATTGCTAATGGAATAACCTGATAGGACGCAAAAGTATGAAACACAAGTCAAGTCCAGATATTAAGTAAATCCAGTTGAAGTTACAAAAAGGGACAGATGACTTGCAGTGACACATTAATCATGATATAGACTATGAATATTCAGACCAACTATGAAAAAGCCCGAGAACCAAAGACAAAGAATGCATTTAAAAATATGGAAAGTTGGGTTAAGTTTGTTATCATGAAAATTCCCTTAGACACAACCTGACTCATTTATCACCATGTTATATATAAGAATTTAAATAGCACTGAGACAATCATACACAAATCACATCCTACCTCATATCATTACCTCAAGTACAAAGTACTCCTGAAAATCATGAAAATCATTTGGCCTGCAATGCAATGAAAAGCATAAGCCTGAGCTATAGTGATTCCTGCAGTACTGAATAGAACTAAAAGCAGGAATTGCAAGAGGCTCACTTGGGGAGTCCAATATCAGGGTCGAATCTCCTGCTTTTATAAAATTTAATCAGATGGAGTAAGCCAGCCCAATCCGTTTCCTATTTATACCCAATAACAGCACATCAATATGACAATGCGTACTTGTCAGAAATGCACAAGAATGTAAACTAGAAGATAGAGAACCTATAATATATGAATAGGAACATTTATGAGTTCCCAGGACTGAACCAACCATAGAATTTGTATCAACCCAAGGCCTTTAATTTATTTACAAAATTATCTCTTTTGCCCAGATGAGGACACACAAATTTAAAGAATCTACCATGACAAATAAACAAACACCAAAGTTTTTTATTCACCACTTGGATTGGAAGAACCTGGGCCCAGATGGATGGATGTAATCACAAATGAGTGCTTTTCATAAAGTTATTAGATCTTGGCAGAGAAAACTTGTTTGTTCAAATTAAAGAAAATTTACTCAGACAGATTTCTGACCACAAAAAGGAAACTTCACTTGAAATACCAAACAGACTGGACAAAGCAGCATTGAGATTGGACCTCTAAAACATGCTTTGATATTTAAACACAGAAGACATGAATTTTGTATCAGTTTTAAAAAAAAAAGCATTCCAATTTTGATGCAAAAAGAAGAGGGCAACAATACCTCAGAAGCAGTAATAGCCAATGCGAATGCCGCCTCAATCCGGATTCTCCAGAAAGCCTTGAAAGTAAAATGAAGAATTTCAAGTTCATGGAACAAAGAAGGGTGTACAAAGAATGGGGGATTATCAAAGGGAAGCAGAAGAGAACCTTTGTGTCAGTAAGAAAATTATTCAAAGCATTGATAATAGAGAAGGACTGTTGTGGCAATGCCTCCAACATAGCTATTGCTTGTGCCTGTGCAACAACATCTTTGTCCTTCTCCAGTTGATTTACCTGAAAAAGAGAGCACATTTAGTTTACTAATATAAGCATAAAATGAGCAAGGAGCATTCATCCTTCAGGAAGTTCAAGCCTCGGGAAACAAAATGTGCAATCTCCCAGTCTGAACCCCAACACAATGAATGAAACACAAAATTCTTGAAAGAAGCATCTTTAATTGCAATAGTAAACATGAGGTTAGACTGACCCTGTATTATTGATGCATGTGTAATACACATATATCATGTTTTGACACGTGTAACAATACACACTAATCATGTCGGGAGTATAAAGATCGCATCCACACAGAAAATTAAAAGAAAGCTAATTACTTGACAAAAATAAAAAGGTAGGTAATGTCTCAATGGACAACCAACAAATTTTTAAATTTAATTGCTCAAAAGATAAGTTTGCTGATTGCCATTAGAAAAAGAGTATCAAGAATCATAGAAGGTGACAAACTTGGTACTTTGTAAGAAAATAATGGAGTTATAGAATAACATCAGAATGCCTTCATTATGAGGTTTGAAATCCAACTGCCAACTTCATAATGTCAAAACTATCTTATTGGAAAGAACTGAAGACAAAGCATACAACTGCTGCTGCACAAAGATCAACCAATGAGGGAATAGTTGAATGACATCTCAAACCGGGAAAGAAAAGCCCAAAAAAAAAAAACTCATACTCTAAAAGAACTACAAGGAACCAACAAATGAGAGATAAAATAAGGACCTTAAAAACTTAAAAGTGAAAAGTAAAAGAATATTTTCCCCCTATTTTAATTCAAAATATTGACCAAACACATCAAGAACACACAAATTCCATGGTAGACACAATCCTAAAAATATCCAACATAAAAAGTTCCTTATAACAAAACTAAAATTGCTTTCAGAATGTTGCTAATTCACCAGTATGGAACATATTAATCAATAAAAGAGCAACTAGTAAAGATGATCACTCCAAACTTACCCACATTTGTACAGGTTGATTAAAGTGAATCTCAGCGAGATATTCCATTTCTGGATCAGCCCTCAGCCACAAAAGGGGTGAATCTGAACTGCGTAGCACAGCAATAATCATTTGAGACATGGCAACACAGAATGCTATCATGTTTAACATAATAATGTATGCCATCATCCAAAGTAACATACTTTGAACGTATATCTAAAGCTGGCACAGAGTCACCATTATCATCAGAACCATCTGGTTTCAAACCCTTTCTAGGTTTTTGAAAGCGTTTAGCGGCAAGTTTTGAGTGACACTGTATCTCAAGCAGCTGCCAGGAATCTCCAGCCATTGGTAGAATCGGATGGTCATACATGCCATCAAGCTCATGGACTCGTATGCTCATCATGCCAGGCCATCCAACATCACCCTCTCTTTTTTCAGAATCAGGATTTGCATTAGAAAGCGCTGCAGTTGGATCTGGCCTAGCTGTACACCCCCTCAGTACAGCCAATTCAATCATATTCTTCCTTTTGTTATATGAGAATCCCATCCTTTCCATGGCACAATAGGAGGACAAATATCAAATGGAGGCATCATCATATACAAGCAACATCAAAGATGTAGAAAATAAAATTTGAGCCATAAAATTCATACTTAAGCACTGGACAGCCACAAGATCCAACCCAACGAGGAAAAAACTCCTTAAGAAAAGGACGCTCAAGATTACCAACTTTGTTTGCAAAGTGTCGAAACTGCAATACACGTTGGAAAGAAAGACATCAACTCTAGAATAATCAGTGAAGAACCACCAAAACTATCAAAGAATCAGACAAATTCTGCCAGAACGTTTGTCAAAGGAGCATTAATGTCTTTTGCTATGCTACTATCAGATTTTCAGACCCTAACTCGTTCCACACCAAATTGACAGAAATATCTGGAATACAATATACTTGTGATCTAACTTCTACCATACAACTTGATCAATTTGGCCAGCACAACAAAAAACCAAACCAAGATGTATTTGATGGATCTGGTTGCATCAGCAGTCCTGCTGGAGTAGGCTGTGACACATAGTAAAAGGAAGAACTTTGACTGTCTTTGAATAAGATAAGGAGGAATTTCAAATGGATGCACTACAACTTAAAAGCAGAAGTACAATATCCAATGAGGCGACGACAAGGAAATTCAGAAATACGTATACCATAGAAAAAAAATCTAGTGCTCACCCCAGCAGTAAGAGTATAAAGCAGAAATTTGAGAGAGAGAGAGAGAACTCATCGGACGGGAAAGAAATAGAATAAAACAACACCAACAACCACCAGCTACCTTTATTTTTAATCTAAGTCCCAGCTAATTAGTAAATACTAATACAACCACGTTTGGTCTTTCTTGCTAAGCCCTACAATCAACCTCTTCTCCTCCACTCAAATTACCTTTATTCCTCCCCTGATGGGGCAAATAACTTTTTCTTCAACTCTAGACATTGTCTATTTTGGCATCTCCCATATGGAAGTCCAAGATTTCGAAAATCATAATCAAGCATAACATAGGTTAGGTACTGTGGTATAATTATGAATACCTCCTTAGTGCTGAGAGTTCTCAAAGGACGACTTGTATCTTGAGCACGGACAACTATTACTTGAAGAATCTACAAATACAAAGATTTGATCATGTAAGTAAAAAAAATATTTGGCAAGTTGATGCAGCTCAACCAACAAATTAACAAGCAAGTATATCAGCAGTTAAAAATGAGAAGATCAAATTATGATATTATGAGCAAAATCAATCAAGCTAGCAACAAAGCAGCTGTCATGCATATTGCATGTTAAATACTTGTTTTTGTGGTATATTTTCAGCATCGATGTGATAACTACTTTATAAATAGAAGAAATAAAAGATATGAGGCACCTATCACCCACCTCCAGAAGTGAAAACTACAATAAAGAACCAAAAAAAATTGTGCAACATAAGAATTGATTGAAGAACATTTGATAAGTTTTCCCCACAATCTCCTCAGCACCTTATTTACAACCACACATCAAGGAATTAAAACTCTCCCAGATAGCATCCAAGAAAACAGTGCACCAGTGGAGACAGAGACAAGAAACCACTATATGACGCAAAAACTATGGCCCTACACAAAGCTTTTGTCCTTACTGGGAAAAATCAGAATGCAACCAGAATGTTCAACATATTTTATCACAGGTCTTCACCCCAACCCCCAAGAAAAAAGGTGGGAGGAGGAGCTCTTGTAATTTAAAAAGAATGTATTTAATTGACGAATGCCTTCCTTTTCTTACAATCAAAACCCATAACTAACAACATTCAATATGGAAAATTTTCTTTCATGCATGATTGGTTCAAGCTTCATAAAGGTGAGCATATAAAACCACATCTGAAAAATGACGAGAAATTGTCCACTGACTTTTTGTAGTGTCAATTTTTTTTTAACAATTGTAGCACATTCAGCCTCAAAAACACTACAAGCTTCAACAGGATATATCCATCCTTTCCACGCACTAGACTTGAAAGTCCAATTATATATATTTTTAACAAAATATAACAAAAAATTGTAAATGACTAAAAGAATATGATGAATTACTATATTGTGAAAAAGACCAAAGAAAACTAGACTATCAAGCCACACAAAAAGCAGTCTTATCAGAAAGAGGAAATTGCTGCGCAGAAGACATTAATATTCCACTTAGCCTAACCATAAAAAAACTTGCATAATAAAATAAAGCACATACTTCAGGGATTAGAACCAAGAACCAACCTTTAATCTCAATTAGTTTCTAATTGATGCTACCAGTAGGGTAGCGCAAAAAAAAAAAGGAGGTCTTTCAGCATGAACAAAGTCAAAAGTAGACATATATCACAATGATGTATACATTCTTACTTTTCGGAACGACTCAGGACCCATTTGCTTTTCCAACATTTGAAGGACCGCAACCTGTAACATGAAGACATAATACGTCAAGACATAGGGATGCTAGAAACAGAAGAACAAGTGCAATTTATTCTAAAAAACTAACAAACAACTATCAAGTATCATGGGAGATAACAACTTACAGACTTCCATGATCTTATTTTTCCATAGAAACCAAAGCACTGAGTTCCATACAGATCTTTTGAAGAAGCCGATGAGCATAAGGCAGTTGCACCACTATCATCCGCCCCACAGACACCACAATTGGCCTGCAAGTCAAGCAAAAAGGACAATATTAGATCGACATGGAAAACTATACCTTACAGCCAACACCTCATGGTCAGAAGCTAGTATGGGACCATATGCCTAAAATAAGCTATAAGCTGATTTGAGCTATTATTAAGCAAAAAGCATGAAGAGTTGGTCTCCTTGGCTTTCTATCTTCACTTTTAGGTTAGAGTACAAAAAATTGTTCCTCATAAGACGCCAAATACCCTCCTAAAGCAACATTCACCTTCAGAATCTATTTGTATAACAAGGCCTTGTGGATGTCAACAACTTGTTTAGTGATCTATTTCTCATCAAGCACATTAAAAATAATACGTCAAATAAAATCAGGCACCCAATTTGAACAACTAATATCTTTCAGAAAAAGGACATCTCTGTTGCGAAATAAAACAAACCTTAAAAAAGCTCCCTCCATCCCATAATTTGAGAAGTTTTTTCTGGAAAAGAAATTTTTAAGGGGAACATGTAACCACTGTGAGGTGGATGAGGAGGATTTGGATGAATTTACAATGTTGTCCTCAAATTCAAAATTTCCAAATTATGAGGAATGCATTGGTAAGCAGGTAAAGTTACTTTTTCAAATGGCAAAAGTGGGAAAGCTAATAAAATGTTGTGTTGACAACTAGAAAGAGACTTATTTTGGGATGTCAAAAAAGTAAACATGACATTAACAATGGGATGGAGGGAGCAAGTAACAAGAAATTACTAATAACATTAATGTCAAAGAAAAAAAATTTTCCGACACCCCAACATGAATCAATGAGCATTTATTTCGATTCCATAACATTTAAGTAAAATTTCCAACATACCCTGTTTCCTTGGTGAACCACTAGAAATGATTCAAATAAACAACTTACAGCTTTTTTAGGAACGTGAGAAATTGCAGTAGACAACTAACTAGTTTTCCAAGGATTTTCATCATGACCCCTTACAAGAAGATTGAATCCACTATTTTCAAACAACTGACCGTACTCCACAACAAATTTGTTGCTGTATTGGCTAAGGTCAATAACTATTGTAAAAAACGAAATTCTCATTGGAAAGCAAACCTTATATCGCCTATAACGTGCTTCATTATTTCCCAGGAAACGCTTAACGAATGAATCAGTCAGAAACCCAGCAAGACCATCCAGCAACCAATCTGACGGTAAGCACAAGCAACGATATCAAAATGCAAGTGTCTAATCATTATCATTGAAATAACTCATTTACACACTCACCATCAGTTGGTGCTTCAGGGGTGATATATACACCAAACCACTGTCTTGCAAGAGCATAAGCTAGTTTAATCCTGGTTTCAATCGTCTGTTTAAAATTCTGACCCATTAGCAGATATAGCAAACAACATAGAGAACTATGAAGAATAATTCACAACTTAAAATCAATAAAGAAAGCACACTGATGGGGAGATTGTTAATAACCCAATAGATGTGATTTTCTGTCTTCATAATTAACATATGAGCAAGGTTAAGTCCAAACAACATCCAGTATAATTAGGGATTTAAAAATCAGTCAAATCAAACCACCAGTTCACAAAACACATCACAAGCTTTAGAAAATCCAGAGAACCAGGACCACAAAGGGTCAAACTAGACAATCAGTGGTTCAAAAATTGTCATAAAAATGCTCACAACCTATTAGGATGTTGATAATAGCAATTGAGGCTGTCTATCAGGGAAAAGCAGTCCTTTACTACGTCAGGTAGCATTTGCTTACGTCCCCTGGAAGTTCCGCTTCAGTGTAATAATTGATCAACTTACACAACCAACCAGCTCAAGGGACGTAGATTTTACTACAGTGTTGTCTATTTGACCTCCTTGGAGGAACTACGGAAAATGTTCAAAAAGTACCAATTAAAATTAAGAAACAAGAAATAGATCTATAATCCAACCAAGTCAAAATTATCATCAAATCCTCAACCAAAAAGTACAGCAAAGGGCTTGATAATGCTTTTGACACAGAGAACATTTTGATGAGTAGGATTTAGCTTCATAGTTCAAAAACAACAAAAAGGCCCCAACTTCATTCTACAACTCTCTTCAAGTTTGCATAATCTGTACTTGTTAAACTATCATCGCTTTATAAAAACAAATGTCCCTTGCCAAGACAGTCACTCAGTTGCTTCAACACTCTGATGCTTTCTGAAAAATCACAAAACATAAGACACCATCCAATTTCAAAAACTCCACATTTAGGCATGCCAAGTCTGCTAATTGCTAATGCTAATGGTTGACAACTCAATGTCCCATATTGTCATACCTGATCAATGACTTTCTCATCAAACAGCAATTGAGAACTAAAGATGCTAATAGAGGCTCCCAGACTCAAAGAGGATATTGCCATCTCAGGAGCAATAAAAACTTGTGCATAGCACCCAAATGGAAACGAGGCAGAGAGGTATTCCTCATAGTAGCTGTTAAAAAAAACTAAATATTAGGAGATTTACACAACAAAGCAAAACATGTCATGACACACCCCAAAAAATAGAAAAACTACCTGAAAGCACTGTGGAAAAATCCCAGAGTGTTCTGCAACTTTGACAAGTTAGTAGGTAGACAGATATGTGACAGCAATGCATTGTGGCGATCAGGAACAATTTCAAAAGGTGCAACTGCCAAGGATATCCATCTAGCAGCAACAGGAATATTTAGTTTGTAGACGTATGTTTTCCGTGGGGGATCCTCCTTGCTCAAGACCTGCCAAGCAAACAAATTTTGGAAAATTGAAAAAAATGAACTAAATTAACTCTCTAAACAAACTACATGTCATCCATCTAAGACACTTCAAAGCAAATCCCAATAAAAAGAGAGGAAAATTGGTGCATAAAATCCCAGAAGAACTAGTGTAGACTTCTGCAAATTAATGTAAACAAGTCGACCATGCAAGGATCTTGTCAAATGACCATGTAGATATATCATCTTTCTAGCGCAACAAAATCTGATGAAGCATGAAAATTCATGACTTAAATCTACCAAAAGTATCAAGTGCCCGATATCCCTGCATCACTAGAAGTTCATCCCTTCTCTAGCATCATTTCTAACTTTCAACAGAGAGCAAATTAGTTGCTAGGTTGGATGAATGGTAAAAATATGTGACAATTATCTGAAATTAAAAAGTTTTCCTAGCTACGGGATGCTATCAGAAAGTAATTGCATTTCCCTAATATCAAGAGAGACAGGTCCAACGCATTGAACGCTCAATGATGTAGACAGTGATATTACCCAAAGGTATAGCAGTTAAAGTGAAACTAAGTAAATACAACAATGGTAAAAATTCTACTCTTCTTCATTGTTTATGCTATTCAAAAATTAAATCCTATACCTGACATGGATTAGAATATGTAAAGATCGCTACTGTCATGATAAATACATATGAGTCAATACATAAATCAGCCTAACATAATAAGAAAGGCTAAGAGACTGATGCCCAGAGCTGATACAGGGTCATAAACAGTTCAAAAGCACGGAAAACTAATTTTCATGTGTCAGCTAGATTTCTTCAATTATCAAAACTGAACTGAAGTTATTTGATTGCTGTTAATGATGGCAAACTATGTGCTTGCAAATGACAACCAACTTCCTATTTACTGAATTATTTGCAAACCGTAAACCTTACAATCAGGGAGTTAGCAGGTTTTAAGAAGCAAAATACAGCCCTGGTATTATTGTTTCAACTAAAATTAATGATAAGACCCTGAACCTAAAGAACATTACACCTACAACAAGAAACAACAGTTTGCAACAGTCTCTGGAACAATTGGATAACATTAATCAATTCAAGCCTATACCACGGGAAGTAATCACAATAAATATGGAGCCTCCAATAAATCAGCTGATCTACAACTAAAAGAATCTCGTAACAACTGTGCATAAAACAAAATGATAGAGTTCTACTTCACCTGATAGAGTAAAGTTCCTGAGCTGACCGCCACAAAGTTGCAAGCCACCGTAAATTCCAGATCATAGCTGGACAAGAGTCACAAAGAATAGAATGATTAGCATGAAATTTCACAACAATAATTACCAACCATATGTTGGATCAGAGAATCAGAATCGCATTCTTACCTGCAATGCTGCAAATTGTCATCCATGCATGGGAACCAGCAACGGGCACGCCTGATTTGGTTATCAGTGTGCAGAACATTATGGTCAAAGTGAATTCCTGTTTCTGCTTTCTCCACCCAATACTCAATCCGAACCATCTTTAAATTCTGCATTCAACATAACCTACATGAGGAATCATAGGAAAGTAAACCTCTTCGCATAAGATTAAAAAGCAAGGGAAACAATCAACTTATAGCATGAATGGAAAGGGTACTAAATTTCACCACCAACTGCAAGGGTTGGACATTATTACCAAATCTCAGTACGTAACAATTCAATTATTTTGCAATGGAACAGAATTAACAATTTTGTATAAAAAAACTACCAATTCTCTGTTCAGAGCATCTTTGAAAGAAATGATGTAATTCAGTAGAAATGTCACCAACACAAACTCAGTTACATGTATGTATGTTACCAAGTGATCTACCAAAAAAAAAAAAAAGCAAAAATTCAAAGAATCAAATTGAACAGCAATAGAAAGTCCCCAATTGCTTCTATATATGAAACTTATTCAAGTACATAGACTCCTCAAATGATAAAAGCACATTTAGTAATTCATCTCCATACACAATCAAGCCAAGGAATTCACAATACTAGTCATAAACCTGAGTGCTCTCAGCTGATGGTTGTGATTCATTGTCAAGCTCTATTTGTCCTTGTCGTTCCCCATCTGGCTTGGCAGACTTACTACACATTATCAGCAAATTAGGAACCAGCTCTCTTTCAAGAGACGATAGATAAACAGATCCTGCTGCATCAGCAGCTGAAGTAGCTGTTGAGACAGAGCACCATCTATCTCCATTATCCAGATTTAGATAATGAGGGAAAACTTCAAAATGAGCTGGCTCTCCATCAACTGTTACACTCTCGATTGCCAGATTATCTGCATGCAAACCCACTATCCCATTCTCCGGTACGATTATTTCAAGCTCAGTGTAACTGAATAATCACAGAAACCATATTTCCCTAGTCATCTTCCAATAAACAATGCATTATGAAAAAGAGGATTAACGGCATACGATAATTTTGGTTCAAAGCTCTTCTTCATCGCTTAAAAGTGAATTACAGCAAGAAACTCCACAATGAGTAAAGAGCGTTAAATTGTAAATACACTCAAAATGCACACCCTCAACCCAAGAACAACAAAAGAATATGTAAACCACAAATATGAATCTCATTTTCAAAGGCAAACCCAGAATACTACCACTGTTGAATGTACAGACCACATTCTGTATTTAGCCGACTCCTGAATGGCAACAACCCTAGATTGGGTACACAGAATGGCAGGGAAAAATAAAAACTGATCCAACACCAACTGCAAACCTCGGAAATTGTAAATCCTATCAACACATTTAAATTGAGTTTCTATAAGTTAATATACTTTTGCTATACCCTCACTAGTACTACTTGCACATTATCACCCAAGCTATTAAAAAATGACGCTCTTGTTTCCAAAAGTAATAACAGCAGCAAAAATTGTTTTCCAAGAATATCTATAGGAATTTCATTGTACTCTAATGCTGTTGATTCAATATATATGACTTTACGAGTGTATTTGGTCAATAACAATAAGCTTCAACATTACAACAAATGACTCTTAAGTATCAAAGATTCACGCTCCCATAATTACTAATTAGAAGAAATTTTACTTCATTACATTTTAGCACCTCCCTCCACAAGTTCTGGTAAGGGTAGGATATTGATCTCATCAACAAATTTTAAACTGATTAACTTACATTAATAGACTGAACTAATTGCCAATTGATTGGCTAAACCTTGCCAGAAACTAAACTAGCTTCCCCCCATCCTAATTTTCTTTCACTCTAGTGACAGCTGATTCCTACACAAAATCTCCACCTAAATTTTGTCAATCAGTTTAATATCCCAAACCATCCAAATCATTCGATCTCCAACGTAAACATACTCAAGTTAGCAAATTTCTTCCTTCCAATTGAACATATAACAAGGTGGCAGCACTCGAAGCCTATCACACCTTCCATCCCTACCAACTTAAAAACTCTCCCACATTTAGCCGGTACCTTCAGCAATAACAATCTGCAACTTGAGACCAACAAAATTCAACCTTTTTACGAATTAAATCTACTTTTTCTCACTAATTACATTTCTCAATTTTCAAAACAGCTCCTTTAACTCAGTCACCATAAAATTTACTACTATCTAATCACCATCCAATAAAAATCTGGTTACTGTACAAAAACAGTAATCGCTCAAATGAGCGTACAATTTGGAAAGTTCAAGAAAAGAAGTACCCGTAGATTCGACGCTTTTCCATATCGATTGATAAACAAAGCTTCTGGTGCTTGACCACTGCCTCGGAATTATCAGGTTTCTGCTCTTCATTTTTAGACTTTTTGGGCTTCGCCATGCCAGCATTTATCTACGGATTTTGGAAGGATTCAGAAAAAAAAAGAACAAAAATTTGAGTGATGAAATGAATTCAGAGAGAGAAAGAAAGACAGTACTGTGAATTCAATCTCTCTCGCTCGCTCTGAAAAGAGTGGGAGAGACGGGGGAGGATTTATAGAGGAGAAGAGGGGAGTATCTCTGTGTTTTGGATCAACGTGGAAAGTTTGTGCCCTAGGCTCTGTGATTTAACCTTGACCGTTGAATGTTGGAGATAATTTACTGGACGGCTAGATGTTGGTTTTGGTATTAAATCTGCGACTAGATTTTTCATGGATCTTGTACACGGGTGCATTGACTCGTGATAAACAGTCTTTGCTTTCTGAAGAATAAAATCCAAACCGGGGGAAAAATTTTTTAATTTATTTTTTTTTTTTTGGTATCATCTGTCATTTAGCTTTTAATGCAATACAAATTTCGTTCGTGTTTATAGAATTACGTTAGTGTTGGCATTAGTTTTCAACCATTAAACCTACATGTTATATTTCCAACAACAATTCACCTTGATATTACCTCTCAAAATTATTTTGAAATCATAAAATATAATAACTTTTATTTCACATAAGCATCTATTTAGATATATAAAATACATATTATGTTAAAATTAAAAATTTGAAACAGCGTCGTAGTTTTAGAAGTTATAAAGTTTTGTAATTATGACAAATGTCAAGTGAGCAAGCATAATTTTCATTTTAAATGATGATGATGATGAGTTCAAACAATATTGGTATCAGTATCGTACCTAAAGTTTGATTCAATATACATATTATGAAAAAGACTTTGATTATTCCGTGAATACATGGGACTTTGATCATTTTGCCACATTAAGCAAAAACGGTGTTACCTTTTTCATTGCTAATCATAAAAACCAACCGTCTGCGTAACGGGTGCCATAAAGCTCCTACGGGTTTAGCCACATGATAGTAGCGTTTCCTTGGGACCTTCAGGTCCCGGATTCGAAACTGCGCTATGGGGGCGCCTGTGCACTTATCGTACCTTGGTCGGGTTGGGACGCGGGACTCAGGCCGCAGGGGATTAGTCGAGCTCCGTAAGAATTGACCCGAGCACCCCTGTGTCGACAAAAAAAAAAAAGTGTAACGGGTGCCATATGGGCAGTTATTAAAATATATTTTATATGTTAGATTTTTAGAAATATAAGAATAATTAGGGAAAGCGTATAAATGTAAAGGGATTAATTAGAAAAAGTGTATAAATACAAGAAAAATGATAATTGTTAGTATGTGTATCAAATGGTAAGTTGGATAAAATATAGATGTACTAATTAACGAGAGTGCTTGTAGGACATCTGTTAGTAAAACCTAAAACTAAATAATCTATCCACATGAGTTATTTGTTTCAAGAAGTATTATACAGGTTAAAAAATTTAATGAAACAATAACAATGTCATACCCGTTTATAAGACGAAATGGATTGATTGTCAATATTAGAGATTATATCCAGATGTAACTATTTGATTAGCACTGCCCTTAATTAAGTGTGACAACTTTTAGGTGTTATGGATTTTATTATGAAATTCAAACAGACACGTAAATTTACTTCTAAAATGTTGTGTGATTGTAACTTTTACCTTTGGTGAAGTACACTTTTTTTTTTTTTAATCCAATCCAATTAAAGCGAGAACTATAACCCAATAACATGTCACAAGCTACAAAAATAGTAGCTGCAAGCCTGCAACACACGATGGTGTGAATACTTCAGGCGCTCACCAGGAATAGAACATAGAAGGAGGGGTTAAGCCGTAATAATATAACTATTAAGTTTTACACTACTGTTACCTTATTAAAACAATCAAAGCAAGCAAGTCAGCTGATCTGCAAAGCAGCAGCCAAAAAGCCAGAAATCCTACCCCGGTTCTCTCGAACCTTCAAGCTGGTGATCTCTTTCCTCTGTCGTCAAATTCTCGGAGCTTTTACTGGATAATGACCGGATACTTTTCAATAAAACGCAATTAAATTGAACGAGAATGAGCGTGGAGCCGTTCAATCGGTAAGAGGAATATCTTACGAACTGTAAATCAAGAACCATTGAGCTCATGAACTCACATATGTGATCGATAATATTGTAAAATTGTAATCTTTTTTCAGTTATATAGCTCATTTCGGTTTAATTTCGATGCGATTTGTTTAATTTTATTGTAATTTAATTGGATAGACTGGTCAAGTTAGCTGCTAGGGCATTTTATGATGATATAACGACGAAAGGAGATAATCAGCCCAAGACCGGACGAAGTGACAATCGAGGAATTGCTGTTGTGGTTCTTGATGCTCTCACCAGGTTCTTTTTTTTTTTTTGGTTATTTGATTTAAAATTTTCTTTCAAGCCGCTAATTTTGATCGGAAAAATTATGTATGTTTATATTGTTGCTTATACCGATTGAGAATAGAATGGAACTTGAGAAGTGCTGGAAATTTAGAAGCTTGGTGTTGGTTAATTAAATAGATTGTGTCAATATCAGCATACCTGGATTAGATGAATTATCGTGAACGCAATTTTTATGTTTGCATTGGTGGTTTTTGAACTGCGAGTCATAGTATAGCTGTTGGTTTAAAGCTTGAAAATTTAACTGAATGCGAAAATCAATTTATGTCTGGAATACATGGTGGCAAATTATCTTTTTATTGTAAGGGGTAATTCTTAAGACGGATGGTGTCGAGCAAGGTAAAATATTAATATCAATTTGGATATGAAAGATCTAAAACTTCACTTTGAAGATGATGCTTCAGCAATATACATTTCCATGGCATGTAGGAATTGTATTTGTTAATCTACTTTTGCGTGTGTATATGCTTACGTTTTGAGGTGCATCTCTGATTCAATTGTATTTCCTATAACACATTTTACTCTTTTTTGTCTGGCCTTTTGGTGTCTGGAGTAGTGTGTTTGGATGATTATGGGGGTTTTGTCATTTTTTTAACTATAATTCCGACATAATTCCAGGCGGCAATGGGTACGGGAAGAGGATTTGGCAAAGGATCTGAAATTGCATTCCAAGCAACTTCGCCGGACTTTGCGGTTCTTTGAAGAAGAGAAGCTGGTTACACGGGATCATAGGAAAGAGGTCAGGTTTCCAGTTTTTAATTCTTGCCCTAAGTTCTATATTGTTTCTATTGTTTGCCTTATAATATATTACTGGTATTGTTAATTAACCCTTGGAATACATTTAATTGCAAATATATGATATCCCTTCTGATTATTGAGCTTTGGCTGCCAAAGTTTCTGCATCGTCTGACCGCGTTCCTTCAGCTTGGGATAAATGTCTTCTTATTGTTCCATGATGCATTCTGGCATTTGTTGAATTCTTTCTTGTAATGTGGAGCTGATGTCTCAAGTCCTTTTAGTGCCACTTTGGTTTCTGAAGTTATGGACCTTGTAGAAAACAATCTCTAACCTGCTGTTCCTAATCACATATCTGTCTGATGGAGATTGTAGATATCAACAATATGTGACAGTCTGCAAAATGAATTCGCTGAATATGAAAATGCCTAGGTTCTTTCATGTCTAACCGCAACACATTTGGTTTTATTTGGATCTTGATTGTTGGACCTAATATTTATGTAGTTTGCAGCTCAGAACCTTGAAAAAACCTCTCTCGGCATTAGTTAATTATTGGGTAACTAGTAATATAAGAACCATTGACTGTCCCCTTTCAGCATATCAAGCTCCAACAGTCTCCTCTCAGATAATCAGCCCTCCCAATAAGCCCAAGCCTGCTTCTTGGCATTCATTTAGTATCATGAAAGAGCCCAGAGAATCTGTGATTATAATATTTCATTACTTCTACCAGTAGACATCTTTGTTCTCATGACTGATTCATATTAAGGTGCTTCAGAGGATAATTTCCACTTTATAAAAGATTCAAAAGATAGTGTAATTTTGGTTCAGTTTCATAGGTATAGATTCTTCTGAGAAACCTTGTAATCCTCTACTTTTCTCATTTGGGTTTGCTTGGTACCTGCTTGGATATTTTGATTGGATATGGTGCTTTTCTTTTCTGTTGAGAGACAACCAAATGATGGTTCCCGAGTTTTGTTGGATATGTGCAACTTAATTTTAACGATAGTAGATGTTCTTTGCCTCTGATGGCTTGTGATTGATTTGTACTGATATTCTCTAGTACATTTCTTTTGATGGAAAAAGTTGTTTTTCCTTGTATAACAATGCACAGACAGCAAAAGGTGCTAAAGTTTACAATGCTGCTGTAGCTGCTACAGCTGATGGTCATCACAATGGGAGAGAAGGAGATGAAAAAATTAAGATGCATACCCACTCTTATTGCTGTCTGGACTATGCACAGGTGCTGTTGTGTGAGGACCTAATGTCTCTTTCTTTATCCACTTTTTAAAATGGGCATTTACTGATACATCAATGTTTCCATTGCATAAGTCATTATCTTGTCAGATGATGGTTTTGTTAAATATTGGACTTTTCAACTAAAGAGTTAAAACTACACTGTCCACGTGATATATATACTTGATGTAATGGGCTGTAACAGAACATATCATGAATGAATTGATTTTAGTTGGGTAACTTTAAGGTGAGGATTTTGTTGCAGATATACGATGTTGTGAGGTACAGGTTACACCGCATGAGGAAAAAGTTAAAGGATGAGCTAGATAACAAGAATACTGTTCAGGAATACGTGTGTCCGAACTGTGGAAAAAGGTTTTATAGCTGCTGCTATTTTTTAAAATCATGTATCTACATTTTCTTGAAGGCTTTGAGGAATCAGTTGGTATTCAAAATCCAGATATAATGCTTTGGATGCCCTGCGGCTGGTTTCTATGCTTGATGAGTATTTCCACTGTGAAATTTGCAATGGAGAACTTGTGGCAGAGAGTGAAAAGTTAACTGCTCAAGAGATGGGAGATGGAGACGACAATGCAAGAAGGCGGCGACGTGATAAACTAGAGGACATGCTCAAAAAGATGGAGGTTTGTCTTCATGCTTGCTAGATGTACATGCTACTGGTGTGATTTGATTATCCTTGTTATGCAATTTTGGGGTTGCAGAAGGGATCTAATGCCTTTAGTGCAATATGTTTGCAAATGGTTTAATTT